AAAAAAATCTAAACACAAATTATGAAAATAAAGTATAAATAAAGTTTTCTTACTCTATTGCCAGATGTTTTTCCCCTTATTTTATGCATAAACGGATTTAAATGGGTTCTCTGTCTTATTTTTATCAAATAAAAGTGACAGACACACAAAAAACTAAACAATATTAACTAAAATTAAAACAGAAAATATACAAATAAAGTCTCATTTAAAATATGAAAATGTCAAATATACAAAATATAAATGTAAAATACATCCTTAAAACAAAATACATTTATTGGGATACATTTTACTAATCAAAGACAGAGAGAATATATCTTGAATTAAGCTGATTTTCCTTACTCTGTGGGCAAATGCTTTTTTTTCTAGCATTATGAATCAATCTGACAGACTTAAATAGGATCTCTCTTATTTCTGTCTTGTTTATATTTTTCCAATTTTCTTCTCAAGAAAATGTATGTTGATTTAAGGATGTGTATTTTTACTGTAAGGCAAAGCAAAAATACTGATTACATTTTTTGGGGGAATAACTTGCACTGATAATTCATTCACAGTAAGACCACAAACATGCATTAACAAGCTAAATGGGGTCATGTTGAATTTAAATAGATTCTGTATTCTCACTTATGTAAATGTAGGTGGAATTGAACGCTCGGACTCAGTTTCAGCACAAATATTTAGCATGCTCTCACTCACTAACATAATGAGTGATTAGCTAAGGTATGTTTTTCATCAGTCATCGTCAGAGTATTTTCTTTGCACACACTGGAATTGAATGCATAAATTCCTGAGGAGGCAGGAAAAATGACTTCATTTTAATATCAGAATTACTCCACAGCTTTACTCACAAGAAAAGAGTTTAAGATTGTACTAACAATGGAAGACTGGGGAAACCTGTTTGATAAAGGCCATTTTTTTGGAGTTGTGTTTGGTGTGGCCAGTGGCCCAGAAATGATGCACTGTGGCTTTAAATGACAGTGCTTTATAAGAATGTGTTGGTCAAGAGCTCACACATGATGGTTTATACAAACACACAACCACAAGGACACCATTACAATCACACAACTTGAACTCGGTGTTTACAAATCATGACTGACATGCAGTCAGGTACAGATGCATTGATACAGAGGGAAACAATGCATTTTCAAATGCAAGACACTACTAGCAAGACCATTTTATGCCTGTTTTCAGGCGCTAGTAAATTGAGATGTGTTTATTTGTCTATTTGGTTTGCGTAGCATGATAGCTTTAAGCCTAGTGAAAAGAAAACATCCAAAATATACATTTTAAATGTTTATTTATTACATTTAAACTATTTGTGGCTGTACATTTTAATGACAGTACATGTCTTTAAAGGCTGTTTTCTCAAAATGAGCCAGAAGTCTTCACTTTACAATTATATTCATCTTTATATTTCTAGGCATAAAATGCACACATTTAAACTTTATGCCTAGAAACATGGTGAATTTTTTTTTT